GATTTTAGATTTTTTTTTAAATGATACTAAATGATTGGCATCAGAGTGATTTTGGGGTAAGATCTAAGTTATCTATTGACCTCAGTGTGTGTGGCTGGTCCCTTGGGATCAAAAGAACCTATTATTTGATGAGACTGGTTGTAAAGAACTACTCATCTCTGAATCCAGTGTTTTTGGTGGTGAGATCAGAACTGGAATGCCTGAGGAAACTGCCTTTATGTTTTATTGTTAGCCAGTGCAGTGAAACAGGAGTTTACTTTTGTGGCTGGTTTGCTATATCTTATAAAAGAATAACCACCAGTTTTGGTTATTCTCCAAATGTAAACACATGGACATCATACCAAATGGACTGAAGGTATCTGTTAGTCTTTAAGGTGCCACCAGACTCCTTGTTAGTTTTGGGTTATGTTTGTCCTATTTCCAGGGCCGGCTCCAGGCACCAGCCGACCAAGCACGTGCTTGGGGCGGCACCTTGGAAGGGGCGGCCAATCTTGGGATGGCGGGGGGCGCTTGGGGTTTTTTGTTTTTGTTTTGTTTTTTGGTTCAGTGGGGCAGGAGGTTTTTTGTTTGTTTTTGTTTCAGCGGCGCGGCACTGGGGGGGGCTGGCGCGGTGCTCGGGGAGGCAGGGGCTTCAGTGGTGCGGCGCTGGGGGCGGGGGTTTGCGTGGCGCGGTGCTCGGGGGGAGGAGGGGGGGTTTGGGCGGCGCGGCCCAGCCCGGTGCTCAGTGGGGGAGCCAGGGGTTTCGGCGGCCCGGCACGGCACTCGGGGGGAAGGGATGGGGGTTTTGGCGGCCCGGCCCGGCGCTTGGGAGGGCCGGGGGTTTCGGCAGCGTGGTGCTCAGGGGGGGCGGGGGTTTGGGCAGCACGGCGCTGGGGGGGCAGGGGTTTCGGTGGCTTGGGGGGGGTGTTACGGCGGGGCGGGGCTCTTTTTTTTTGCCTGGGGCGGCAAAAAAGTTAGAGCCGGCCCTGCCTATTTCTCAGCAGTTTGTCCTGAATTTGGCATCCTCAGTTTTGACCCACAAAGGCATGGTTACATAGCGTCTTTAATCTAGCAGAGCAAGTCAGAATGAGATCCACTGTCGGGAAACTGAACAAACTCAGGCTAGAAATAAGGCAGAAAATTTCCAGAGTGAATGTTTCAGTTACCCATTGCATCAACTTATCTAACGAGGTGGTGGGTTCTTCATCACTTGGATGGTTCAAACCCAGACTGGATTTCTCTTTCTAAAAGACATACTATAGCTCAGGCGTAGGGAGCACTGGCTGAAATTCTCGGGCCTGTGCAATACAGGATTGCAGATCACATGATCATAATGGTCCTTTCTGGCCTTACAAATCCATGAACCTGCTGAATAAATCCCTGGTTGTGAAGGCTGGAATTGTCACAGGCTCCTCACGGTGTTAGACACCCACATTCTATTGACACTCAAGGGGGATTTAAGTGCCTAAATCCCAATGGATCCTTTGAAAATCACAGATGAAATTGTGCAGTTGATCAGCAAAAAGGCCTGTGCACCACTTAAATCTTAGTTCAACCCTCAGTGCATAATTTAATTTGTGCTGGCCCCTCTGAACAGGGGCAAACATCACTGTATCAAAAGAGGTGTTTAGGCAGAACTGAAAAAAGTACCTCCCAGAGTTATACTGATACTGGAATTTTCAAAGGATGATCAAATCCCATTGAAATTAAAAGGGATTTGGGCACCTAACTCTCTTAGTCTGCTTTGGAAATCCCATCCTGAATGCCCAAACACCATTAATTTTAGGTATTAATTAACCTGCCTACCCTTAGGCAGTCTTCACAGTTACAGCCTGCATTTTCAAGTCACAAGCAATTATAAGATGGATTGAAAGTAGAAGGGTACCCATAACCCAAAAACAAAAGTGAAATAATAGAACTGTTTCAAGACCCAGTGTGTTTATTTGTACAGAAAATTTAATAAAAGTGTGACCTGTCCTTGTGTGGAAGGAAATAGCAGGTTTGTGTTCAAGTGCTGCCACCTAATGGCCGTTTCATTCAGTGTTTACATCTACAGAAAGATGGTATTCAATTGTCCTGAAGTTTTCCACCACTGTTCTACTAGACTGATGTCAAACATCAGCATAAATCCTCATGTCATCCGGGACATTTGACCTGTAAATTAGACATATAATCTAGTATACTCTGGACACAACCCACCCATTCCCTACTCACCCACACAAAATTCACTCATACAATCAAACTTACACACATAAAATTTACTCCCACGTACTCACACAGTCATTCACAAACACCCACATCCCGGCCTCCACATATTTCACCATCCCGGCCTGAAGACATTCTATCTCTGCTGAGGCTGCTGGAATAGTCCCTGTGGATCTGCTCTAAGCGAGGTGTCTGTGCTGGGGTTGCAGAGCTGTGAGAAGGCAGTTTGGTTAGGTGCTTAGCAAGCAGAGGCAGAGATGAGACAGGCAGCCAGTGTATCTCAGTGCCTTGAATGTCTCAGGCGTCAAAAAATTAACACCACTCAACTGAGAGCCATGAGGCGGAAACTCCCCTTGGGTCTTTCTTCACTTCTAATGTAAGTTTCTGCTCAGAATACTCCGGCCTCTTCCAACCCAGCTGCTTCGCTTATGGGTCATTGAACCAGAAATGGCTGAAGCAGCATTTGATTCGGGGTTTAGGATGATTAAGAGTTACTGCACACATAAAGAGAGAGGGGGCTGCCAACTGCATGTGTCACTGTTCTATTTCAGTATTTGTAGTGATTTGGAGCATTCGTTAGCATTGCTTACCTCCTTTCTTCAAGACTTCAGAAGAGCATCAAGATAGATAGATAGATAGATATGGAAACTGCATTTTACAACAGATTGATGTATGGCTAGATGATGAAGAGGGACGGACAGATAGATATGGAGAGATAGGAGAATTAAGAAATTAGAGTCAACAGAAGAAAGAAAGGTAAATAGATACAAAGATAGACAGGGAGAGAGACATAAGAACATAAGAACGGTCATACTGGGTCAGACCAAAGGTTCATCTAGCCCAGTATCCTGTCTACCGACAGTGGCCAATGCCAGGTGCTTCAGAGGGAATGAACAGAACAGGCAATCACCAAGTGATCCATCCCCTGTTGCCCATTCCCAGCTTCTGGCAGACAGACAAACATGAGGTTAAACAGGTGCTGTAACACTCTGATATACATCATTCTAATGCTGTCATTTTATTTCCCTGCAGTCTCCTGCTGTGAGGCCCAGTTGGTTCCAAGACCCGAGTCACTGGTTGTTCAGGAAGGAGACATCTCCACCGTGACCTGTACTTACACCGGTGCTTACCAAACCTATCAGTGGTACCAGCAGCTCCCCCGGAGAGGGCTGCCCCCCCCAGTGACTGTCAATGCTAGGGAGAAAGTCACTGATGGGCAGTTCATGGGCGAGCACCTGGAGGATTTGAAAAGCAGCTCTCGGCCCAGCTCGGAGTCCCAGCTGGGGGACTCAGACCCCTACTTCTGTGGGGTGGAGGCACAGCGACCCAAGCTGGGCTCTGTGTAAAAAAACCTCATCCTCTGCAAAGCAGCTTGTTGAGGGAGATACAGGCACAGAGGTCCCCAGCTGGTGTGAATGCATCATAGCTCAGCTGGAGTCAATGGGCCAGATCCTCAGCTGGTGTATATAGACACAGAGAAAGTCCCTGCCCCCAAGATCTCACAAGCCATATGGGCAGGAGAGAGACAGGCAGAAAGTGAAAAGAGAGTCACAGGGAGCGGGAGGGGGTTTCCCAAGGTCACACAGCCGGGGATAGAACCTAGCAGCCCTAACCCCACTCCAGCCGGCGATCCACCAGAGCACATTGCTTATCAAATGCAGTGACTTTATTGGCATCGCTGTGGGTTTACACCAACGCAACCAGCTGTAGGGCCGAGAGTCCCTAGTGCTGTTCTTTGCTACTTAACACTCCTTAAAACATATGGCCACAAAAATGAAAAATAACAGGTTAATCCTGGAGGAATTTTACAGGGAAAAGTCCCTTCTCTGGACCACATGGCATCATCCAGCGTTTGCAGCAATGGAAAAATCCACCGGCAGCAAAGGGGAAAACGTTCCCAGCTTTTGGAACGAGCAGCTCACTTGGGAAAGAGATGATGGGTAAGTTTTCTACTGGCCCTGGGTCTCTCTGCAGTTTGGGCTGTTGTCCTCCAGAGGGCGCTGCAGCACAGGCAGCATTGCTCTCTACAGACAGGGCGCACCGGTTTATTCCAGCCACTGGTTTCCCATGGTCCAGTTCTCCTGCCAGCCCCCTCATTCGTGGTGAGGCCTGTGGGGGGCTCAGCCAGGGGCGCTGGAACAATGTGCACAGTGGGGTGCTGGGAACCACTGCACCAAACTGTAAACCTGGATATGCTGGAAACCACGTCAAGCCAGGGGGTGCAGCCAGGGCCGGCTCTGGCTTTTTTGCTGCCCAAGGCAAAAAAGCCTCCGGCCGCCCCGTGGGGGAGGGGGGAGCGGCCGGAGCCCCGGGGGCAGGGCGGTGAGCCCCGGCGGGGGCTCGGCTCTCCCCCCGGTGGCCGGGGGGAGGGCGCGGTGGGGAGGGCGGCCAGAGCGCCGGGGGGAGGGCGGCGAGCACGGCTGTGGCCCCGCTCTCCCCGGCGGCCGGAGCGCCGCGCCGCCCCCCTCCAGGTGCCGCCCCAAGCACCAGCTTGGGTGCCTGGTGCCTGGAGCCGGCCCTGGGTGCAGCAGCCCCCCCTCTCCCCAGCACCCTGAGTTCCAGCACTTGTCGGCTCAGCCGCAGGGCAGGTATTGAGGGGAGGGGAAGTTCATACTTGGCCGCAGGAGTCACTCACACCTCCAGCTGTGACATCACTGCCTGATGTCTAATCTTCACCATTCAGACAGCGGCTCTCTCTCCTCCCTCGGCCCAGGGCTGCAGGGCGAGGACAAGAGCTGCCGCCTGCGTGTCTCTCTCCCAGGATGGCTGGAGAGAAAAGCGGCAGCGCCCTGTAGAAGAGCCGAGACGCTGAGGCGATGGCCACGGTCCGGGACTCAGCCATTGTGCTGATTTTGCTTTTCAGTGAGTAAGATTCCAAATCCCATTTCTGAGAGATTCTCCACCTGCCTCCCTCTTCATTACTGGCGCTGAGAGACCTTCCTCCTCCTCCTTCCTCCTCTGCAAGAAGGGATGCTCTCAGGCAGGGATTTAGGTGCTCAAATCCCACTGGAATTGAATTTCAATGTAATCGGGGAGTCTAAATAAAGAGGAGGGTGATCTGTTCTCTATGGCCACAGACAGCGGGACAAGAAGTAAGTGGCTTAGTTCGCAGGAAGGGAGAGTGAGATTAGATGTTAGGAAAAACTTTCTAACCATAAGGAGAGTTGAGCTCTGGACACGTTAAGTAGGGAGGCTGTGGAACCCCCATCGTTGGAGGGGTTGAAGATCAGGTTAGACAAACACCCATCAGGGATGGTCTCATGGCCTCAGCGTGGGGAGGGCTCTACACGACCTCTTGAGGTCAGCCCGACATTTCCATGATTCCATGAAATCCCTTCAGCTCCTTTAAAAATCCCAGAATCAAGAACTCCCCTCAGTGACAGGATCCTCCGACTAACCTCTCTTTCCCCCTCTCCTTGTGCCAGGCTCCAGCATGGAAGATGCTGTAACTCAGACCCACCCTTCAGTGTCAGGGGTGGAGCATGAGTCTGTAACCCTGGACTGCACTTATGAAACTGTGGCTAGCAGTTATATTTTTTATTGGTACAAACAGCCCCCTGGGGAAAGCCTGATTTTCCTTTCTTGGCAACATTCTGGAGGAGAAAAGAGGAATGAGGCAGGGGAGAGATTTTTTTTCAGTTTGGAGAAATCCAAAAGCTCCATCAGTTTGAGGATCACAGCTCTGGAGTTGGGGGACGTGGCGATATACTTCTGCGCTTTCAGTAGAGATACACACAATGTTGAAATTAATAGGGAGCCCTGAACAAAAACCTGACACCTCTCCGCTACTGTAAGAAACTGACTCCTGCAGGTGAAGTTAGGAGGCGAGCACATGCAGGCAAGGGATGGGGGTGGGGGTAGAGGGCTATGAAGTGGGGTGAGACCTGCCACAGCTGGCTTCCTGGAGATGAAAACCTCTTCCTGATTTCTGGTGAAAGGCGGCACCACAATGGTACTCAGAAATTCGCCGCAAAGAGGAGATGGAATGAGACAAAGGCAGAATAAGATCCCATGGCTGGAAGCCGGAGTGAGACAAATTTAGACTAGAAAGAAAGTGCACATTTTTAACAGTGAGGGTAATTAAACACTGAAACAACTGACCCAGGGAGATGGTGGATTCTCCATCATTTGAAATCTTTAACTCATGACTGGGTGTCTCTCCTCTATGTCAACCACAAGCTATGGGCTGGGTGCAGGAATCCCTGAGGATCATTATCTGGCCTGTGTTCATGCAGGAGGTCAGACTAGATCAGTGGCTCTCAAACTTTTTTACTGGTGACCCCTTTCACATAGCATGTCTCTGAGTGCGACTGCCCCTTATAAATTAAAAACACTTTTTTATATATTTAACACCATTATAAATGCTGGAGGCAAAGCGGGGTTTGGGGTGGAGGTTGACAGCTCGTGACCCCCCATGTAATAACCTCGTGACCCCATGAGGGGTCCCGACCCCCAGTTTGAGAACCCCTAGACTAGATGATCACAAAGGTCTCTTCTCACTTTAGGATCTATCCATCAATCAATCTATTAATATCTCACTGGGGGCTGGTGAAGTCTGGGATGGGTTCCTTGTGGAGTTAGGGACCCCCGAGTCTATTCAAAACCAATGAGTGCTGAGCATCTAAGTCCCCTAGGCTCCTTCGGAAATCCCAGCTGAAATTCCATCCTGGGTTGACACTTAACACAAGGGACACTTAACCCTCACTTCTGCCTTCAATTTATGGACTTAATTGGGACCTGGGGCTGGCACTGGCCCCTCTGCATAGGGGCAAACATCGCCATATGGGCAGAAGAGCTCAGTCATTCCTGGAAAGAGAGCTCTCAGATTTATACTGAGGCTGGCATTCTCAAAAAGGCCTAGAGGATTTAGAGGATCAACTTCCATTGAAATTCAATAGGATTTGAGCATCTAATTCCCTTAGGCTGGTTTCAAACTCTCAGCCTGTGTTTTCAAGTCACAAGGAACTATAAACTGCATTGAAAGTAGACGGTTCCTCTTTACCTAAAACCGAGAGCGAACTAGCAGAGCTGCCTCAGGCCCTGCTGGGTTGATCTGAAAAGAAAATGTAATAAAAATGTGGCAAACCCTGGGCTGAAAACAAACAACAGGCTTGTGATCATGTGCTGCCATCTGGTGGCCATGGCGTTTCACTTTGACAGCTGCAGGAATTAATGAAAAATTGCGCATGAGTTGTCCACCACTGTTTTACTCTACTATTATCAAATATAAAGGCACATCTTCAATTCAGCCTGGGCATTGAAATTTTATTTAGACATACAACTACTTATGTATTTTGCATACATACAGACACACACATCACTCTCTCTCTCTCTCTCTCTCTCTCTCTCACACACACACACACACAAATTCATACATATGTGAACTCACAGTTCACACACACACAAAGTCACTCACACCCAGAATCACATATATACCAAAGTGGTTCTTAGATACATCAAACACCTACATAGTCACTCACACACACCTCAAATTCTCTCACTCACACATTCACAGTGACACTCTCACACACACAAGCGAGCACAAATACCAAACTCACTCACATGCAGATCAAACACAAATGCACACTCTCGGGGTATGTCTACACTACGGGATTACTCAGAATTTACAGAATTCGATTTTTGGAAACCAATTGTATAAAGTCGAGTGCATGCAGCCACACTAAGCATATTAATTTGGCGGTGTGCGTCCATGTACCGGGGCTAGCGTCGATTTCCGGAGCTTTGCACTGTGGGTAGCTATCCCATAGCTATCCCATAGTTCCTGCAGTCTCCCCCGCCCATTGAAAATCTGGGTTGAGATCCCTTTGCCTGATGGGGCCAAAAACATTGTCACGGGTGGTTCTGGGTACCCCCCCCCCCCCCCCCGTGAAAGCAACGGCAGACAACCGTTTCGCGCCTTTTTTCCTGGGTGAACAGTGCAGACACCATATCATGGCAAGCATGGAGCCCGCTCAGCTCAAGGCAGCAGTCATGAACATTGTAAACACCTCGCGCGTTCTCGTGCAGTTTATGCTGAACCAGAACCTGCAAAACCAGGCGAGGAGGAGGTGGCGATGGCAGCGCAGCGACGAGAGTGATGAGGACATGGACACAGAATTCTATCACACCGCGGGCCCCGGCGCTTTGGAGATCATGGTGTTAATGGGGCAGGTTTTAGCCATGGAACGCCGATTCTGGGCCCGGGAAACAAGCACAGACTAGTGGGACCGCATAGTGTTGCAGGTGTGGGACAATTCCCAGTGGCTGTGAAACTTTCGTATGCGTAAGGGCACTTTCATGGAACTTTGTGACTTGCTTTCCCCTGCCCTGAAGCGCCAGAATACCAGGATGAGAGCAGCCCTCACAGTTGAGAAGCGAGTGGCGATAGCCCTCTGGAAGCTTGCAACGCCAGACAGCTACCGGTCAGTCGGGAATCAATTTGGAGTGGGCAAATCTACTGTGGGGGCTGCTGTGATGCAAGTAGCCAAAGCAATCGTTGAGCTGCTGCTACCAAAGGTAGTGACTCTGGGAAATGTGCAGGTCATAGTGGATGGCTTTGCTGCAATGGGATTCCCTAACTGTGGTGGGGCAATAGATGGAACCCATATCCCTATCTTGGCACCGGAGCACCAGGGCAGCCAGTACATAAACCGCAAGGGGTACTTTTCAATGGTGCTGCAAGCACTGGTGGATCACAAGGGATGTTTCACCAACATCAACGTGGGATGGCTGGGAAGGGTTCATGACGCTCGCATCTTCAGGAACACTAGTCTGTTTAAATGGCTGCAGCAAGGGATTTACTTCCCAGACCAGAAAATAACCATTGGGGATGTTGAAATGCCAATAGTTATTCTTGGGGATCCAGCCTACCCCTTAATGCCATGGCTCATGAAGCCGTACACAGGCAGCCTGGACAGGAGTCAGGAGCTGTTCACTTACAGGCTGAGCAAGTGCAGAATGGTGGTAGAATGTGCATTTGGCCGTTTAAAAGGTCGCTGGCGATCGTTACTGACTCGGTCAGACCTCAGCCAAACCAATATTCCCATTGTTATTGCTGCTTGCTGTGTGCTCCACAATCTCTGTGAGAGTAAGGGGAAAATGTTTATGGCGGGGTGGGAAGTTGAGGCAAATCACCTGGCCACTGATTACGCACAGCCAGACACCAGGCGATTAGAAGAGCACACCAGGAAGCACTGCGCATCAGAGAAGCTTTGAAAACCAGTTTCATGACTGGCCAGGCTACGGTGTGAAAGTTCTGTTTGTTTCTCCTTGATGAAAACCCGCCCCCTTGATTAACTCATTCCCTGTAAGCAACCCACCCTCCCCCCTTCGATCACAGCTTGCTTTCAAAGGAAATAAAGTCACTATAGTTTAAAAATCATGTATTCTTTATTAATTGATTATAAACGTAGGGAGAGAACTGACAAGGTAGCCTGGGTGGGGTGTGGGAGGAGGGGAGGAGGGAAGGAAAAGGCCAGTAAAAAAGTTCAAAATAATGACAGCCTTTTGCTTGAGCTCTCCACTGGGGTGGAGTGGGAGGGTGCATGGAGACTCCCCCCCGCCCCGCGTTCTTGGGCGTCTGGGTGAGGAGGCTTTGGAACGTGGTGAGGGGGGAGGGAGGTTATACAGCGGCTGCAGCGGCACTCTGTTATCCTGCTGTCGTTCCTGAAGCTCCACCAGATGCCGGAACATGTCCGTTTGATCACGCAGGAGCCCCAGCGTTGCAGCCTGCCACCTCTCATCTCGAGTGTCCCTCATGGCCTCACGTTCACTGGCATCTTTCCTGTACTTTGATACCATGTCCTTCCACTCATTCAGATGAGCTCTTTCATCGCTTGTCGATTGCATGATTTCCGAGAACATGTCGTCTTGTGTGCATTTTTTTCGCCGCCTTATCTGAGATAGCCTTCAGGACGGAGGAGGGAGGCTTGAAAAATTTGCAGCTGCGGGAGGGAGGGAAAAAAGGGAGAGAAGTATTTTAAAAGATACATTTTACAGAATAATGCATATACTCTTTCACGGTGAACAACACTATTCACATTACATAGCAAATGTGATTTCGGTACAAGATCGCATTTTGCATCTTATATTGAGTGCCTGCGGCTTTGGTGTTAGAGATCACAGATGCAGGGCCGGGTAACAGAATTTGGCTTGCATGCAGCCATGGTAAGCCATTGTCTTTCGGCTTCGGCAATCTTCATAAAAGCAGCGCCCTCCTTTCCCATACCAAGCAAAGCCCATTGAGTGCTGTGGTTTTCCTGTTAACGTGCAGCAGCAGAAACCAAACTAACCCCCCCCCATCCAATTATCTGGGATGATCGCTTTACCCCTCCCCCCACTGCGTGGCTGGTATCAGGGAAGATCCCTGCTATCCAAACGTGAAAAGCTCAGCGCCAATGCCCCCCCTCCCCGCTTGGCTAACTGCAGGGAAGGATTTCTTTTCAGCCACAGGCAAACAGCCCAGTAGGAACGGCCACCTCTGTCCCCTTAATTAAATTCCCGTATTTCAACCAGGTTACCATGAATGATATCACTCTCCTGAGGATAACACAGTGAGATAAAGAACGGATGCTGCTTGAATGCCAGCAAACACCGGGACCATACGCTGCCAGGCTTTGTCATGCAATGATACCAGATTACTTGCTACTAGCATGGCGTGATCAAGTGTCCTACCATGGAGGACGGAATAAGGCTGCACTGCCCAGAAACCTTCTGCACAGGCTTTTGGAGTACCTCCAGGAGAGCTTCATGGAGATGTCCCTGGAGGATTTCCGCTCCATCCCCAGACACGTTAACAGACTTTTCCAGTAGCTGTACTGGCTGCGAATGCATCTCAAGTCCTTGGGGCAAATTAATCATTAAAAAACGCTTGCTTTTAAACTATGTTTTATATTTACAAAGTACACTCACCTGAGGTCCCTTCCATGGGTTCATGGTCTGGGATACTGCCTTGGGAGGGTTGGGAGGGTACTTCAGTCAGGCTGAGAAAAAGATCCTGGCTGTTGGGGAGAACAGAGTGCTGGGTGCTCTCTGCAAGATCCTCCTCCTCCTCTTCCCCGTCCGCAGAATCCTCAGGCATGGCTGAGATTACCCCCTCCTCAGAATCCATGGTCAGGGGTGGAGTAGTGGTGGCGGCCCCCCCTAGAATTGCATGCAGCTCAGCGTAGAAGTGGCATGTCTGTGGCTCTGACCCGGAGCAACCGTTTGCCTCCTTTGTTTTTTGATAGGCTTGTCTGAGCTCCTTAACTTTCATGCGGCACTGTAGTGAGTCCCTATTGTGGCCTCTCTCCATCATGCCCTTGGAGATTTTTTCAAAAGTTTTGGCATTTCGTCTTTTGGAACGTAGTTCTGCTAGCACAGAATCAGCTCCCCATACAGCGATCAGATCCAGTACCTCCCGTACGGTCCATGCTGGTGCTCTTTTTTGATTCTTGGCCTGCATGGTTACCTGTGCTGATGAGCTCTGCGTGGTCACCTGTGCTATCCACGCTGGGCAAACAGGAAATGAAATTCAAAAGTTCGCGGGGCTTTTCCTGTCTACCTGGCCAGTGCATCCGAGTTCAGATTGCTGTCCAGAGCGGTCACAATGGTGCACTGTGGGATAGCTCCCAGAGGCCAATACCATCGAGTTTGGTCCACGCTAACCCTAATTTGAACCAGCAAAGTTGATTTTGGCGCTAGTCCCCTCGTCGAAGAGGAGTACAGAAATCGATTTTAAGAGCCCTTTATGTCAAAGTAAATGGCTGCATTGTGTGGACGGGTGCAGGGTTAATTCGATTTAACGCTGCTAAATTTGACCTAAACTCATAGTGTAGACCAGGCCTCAAAGTCTCAAACACAACAAACTCACTCTGCTCTCACTGCACAGAGGTAGCTGCCTGAGTCCCCAAGCTGGGAGTTGGTGATGTGCAGGGAGCTGCGTTTCCCATCTTGCAGGGGCTGCCCCATGCACCGCTGCTTGGCAGCATTCTCCTGAAGGCTCATGGCCAGCAGGTTAGGAACCCATGTCCTGTTGAATTCAAGGTTGGGATTGCCAAAGAGAGCTATAGAATCTAGGTAGCCAAACTTCACTGAAATTCAACAGGACACGGGTTCCTAATTCCCTTTGGTTCCTTTGAAAATCCCAGGCTAAATCCATTCATGTCTGTGTGGTGCTGAGGTACTGCAGGGGTCAAAGGGAGACAAAAGCACCCAGGTAGCTTTTAAAGTATTTTCAAAGGAGCCCAAGGGAATTAGGTACTCAGCTCCCAGTGGAATGCAAGGGAAATTGGGCTATGAATTCCCTCAGAAATCTTTGACCATTCCAGCGTAAAACTGCCTGCATTAGGTGTTTCTCTGGCCATATTACCACAGTGTCTACCCACTTCACAATCTTCCTTTATTGGTCCACACAACACCCCTGCGAGGTGGGAAAGTGCTGTTAGCCCATTTTATGGCTGGGGATCTGAGGAACAGAGGGGCAGATTTTTAAAGGTCTTTAGGTACTTGGTGCGATTTTTCACAAGTGCCTCGGTGCCAAACACCATTTGAAATCAATGGGTGTTAGGGGCCCTGGGTGTGTTTGAAAACCCCACTGGGCCACCCTTTAAAAACGTGGCCCTGAGTGATTTGCCGAAAGCCACCCGGAATGTCTGTGGTGAAGGAAAGACTCGAACTCAGGTCTTGGTTAGTGTTATAGCTACTGGTGTCTCCTGACGCACCTTGGCTGCTGCAGTTTGGACACCACTAAGGAATCCCCTCGTGCCGGGTGCCTTTGTCTACGCTGGGGGTGTACAGCTCCGAGAAGGCAGTTGAGCTTGTGCAGGAGCAAGCGGCAGCAGTTACAGGAGCCTAGGCTGGTGTGTGTGTCACATGATGTGTCTGAACATAACAAAAAACCAGGCAGAGATGAGCCAGGCACCCACTGCATCTCAGTGCCCGGTTGCAACAGGTGTCAGAAATTCACCTCACCCCCCCTGAGAATCATGAAGCTGCAAGTCCCCTGGGTCTTTCTTCCTTTGTACTGGAAAGTGGGAAATGCAGCTTTCTGCACATCACCGACTCCCAGCTGGGGGACTCAGGCAGCTACCTCTGTGCAGTGAGAGCACAGTGCCACAGGCAGAGCTGGGCTCAGGGCAAAACCCTTCATCCTCTGACAGGCAGCTGGGCTGAGGAGCTGCAGGACGGATCCCCAGTTGGTGTAAAGTGACTGTTGCTCAACGGGAGTCACTGAATCAAACCCCAGCTGGTGCAAATCAGAAATATCTGCATTTACATCACTGGGCCAGATCCTCATCTGGTGCGACTCAGATGCTCACTATTGTAGCTAATGGGACAGATCCTCAGGGGGTGTAAATCAGCTGTAACTCCATTGGAGTAAAGGGGTGAAGTGGTGCCTGGTTCTCAGGGCCGGCTCTACCATTTTTGCCGCCCCAAGCAACAAAAAACAACCGAACTGCCGAAGCGCAAAAACCCCCACAAAAGCCACGCTTGGCGTGTACCACCCCAAGAATAGACAGAATACTGCCCCTTAGCATGTGCCGCCCCAGGCACGTGCTTCCTCTGCTGGTGCCTGGAGCCGGCCCTGGTGGTTCTGTATCATTCCTACCATCTTCTACCTGGGATTCCCCTGAAGCCAAGAATTTCTCCCCCTCCCCCTTCTCTGCCAGGGCAGCAGATGGCGCTAGAGTGCTCACACCCTCCCCTGCAAACTCTGGTTAATTCCCACAGCCTGAGATCTGGGCTGGACCCAGCCCAGCACAATTCACAGAGCTGCTGTTCCTCCCCGGGGCAGACAATGAAACAGCAGCCTCTGTAGGCAGAGAATCCTTCCCCTTGAGAAGGGGGTAACCTGAGGGGAGGGAGAATTCTCGTTTCCACTGGTCTCCTGCAAACCTTTCTCGGACTGACTCTGCTTCGGTATATCCCTCTGCGAGGGAGAGAAGAAACGGAGCTCACCATGGCCTCAGAGAGTGGAGCTGCTCTGTGGAACCTTCTCCTCACCTTTGCTTTTCTCTGTG